TGTGAGCCGGAGGCTAGAAAACTGTGAGCTAGCTCACACTAACTCAGCTTAGAGGGAACACTGCCACACACATATGTGTAGGGTTGCCATTGACAGCTTCCAGATGATGACCAGAGATCTCCTGGGATTACAACTGATCTCCAGGCAACAGAGATCAGTTCACCCGGGGGAAATGGCTGCCTTGGAAGGTGGACTCTGCCGGGCGCCTCCCGCCCCGTGTCCCTCCTCCTCACCCCCCCCCCCCGCCGCTCTTGCAGGATGCAGCGCCTGGCGCAGGACCTGGGAGCCCTCCAGCGCCAGTACGAGGGGCTGCAGTGCAAGGCCTGGGAGCTCTCGCAGGAGGCGGAGGGGCTGCGCGGGGAGCTGGACCGGGTGCGAGGGCTGCTGCAGCAAGCACGGCAGGAACGCCAGGGGCTGGAGGCCCGCTGGGTGAGAGAGAAGGCCCTGGAGGCCGAGCGGCTGAACTGGGCCCTCGAGCGAGAAGAAAAGTAAGCGGGGGGGGGGCCGGCGTGTGCGTCTTGGTCTTTCTCCCCCTGGCCCACAAAACCTCTGGAAACTATTCAGCAGCTGATGGTGGAGGCCGGTAACAGCAGTATCGCCTGCCAAGCTGGCCGCATTTGTTCTTGTTTCTGTATACCGGTATCTCACAGCTTTTCACAATACCAAAATATCCATTCAGTTTCATAATTTCGAGGAGTAGTTATGCTTGCAAGATTAAATGCACTACCATCTGCGATCTCTGAAGGAAGTATGTTAGATGCGGTGGTTGTGGCTTACTCAAGACAGAGTAGGTTAGAAGAACAGAGAAGTCAAGAAACTTCAGGAAGTGCCCCTCTTCCCATGAAGGTTCTTCTTCAAGCTGCTGACTGTCACGGACCAGTGGCCTCAGACCCTCAGGTCTGCAGGCCTGGCCTCCCCTGGGCTCTTACCCAACCGAAGCCTTTGGAGGGTGACCCCCTGCCCAGACGGGAGGCCCTTCCCTGCAGGGGCCTCCACAGGTGGAACGGCCTGCCTGAGTAGGTCAAGAATACTTCTACCATGTATGGAGCAGAAACATTGAAGAGGACATCTGGACAAAGGGATTAGAACAGTAGTGGAACAGAGCAGCTGGAAAGACCATTCCTGTAGCAAACACTATTGTAGTTTATCGCGATGATTACTGTACACGTCAGTTCCTTTTTCTGCTACTTCAGTTGCTCTCTGCTTCTGTAACTTCCTTCTTTTGCTACGGTATGTGACACAGTTTGTAATCTGCCTTGAGTCTCACTGAGAAAGATGGGCGGTAAACAAAGCTAATAATACCATTTCTGGATTCTGTGTGGGGACCTCAGGGTGCTAGCTCTGAAGATGCCCCCCCCCGCCGCCAGCAGGGTCTGCCAGTGGAGAGGCATAGAAACGGGGGGCCTCCAGTGCTCCGTGAATGAGGAGCCGTGTCTGATCTCTCCCCAGGTCTCAGCAGAAGGTGAGCCGCCTCCAGGAGAAGTTGCAGAGGGTGCGAGAGGGACGTGCCCCCCCCCCCCCGTTCCTCTGCTGTCAACCGCAGGAGAGCCAAATCACATTTGGGGGGGGGGGTAAGAGCAAAGACCTGCCCGGTCTCGGAAGCTAAGCAGAGCCGAGCCTGTCAAGTACGTGGAAGGGGACGCCTCCAAGGAACACACACCAGGGGTGGGGCGCAGAGGCAGGGAATAGCAAGCCTCCTCTCTGGGTCGCCAGAAGTCAACCGTGATTTCCAGGCATACGCACATGCAAGTACCAAAGAAAGATGGAGGGAAAAAGGGCTTATAGAATTGCTCCCCCCCCCCGGGGGGGGGGGGCGCGCGAAAAGGCGAGCCTGTTGCAAGGAGCCGCTCTGCTCTCTAAGGGGCAAAGCTCAGCCCGCTGCTGCTCTGTGACTTGAGACCCAACCCTTGTGAGAGGGGGCGTTTCCAACAGTCGGTGGAAAAAGTACCTTGGCCGTCTCCAAGCCCCCAAGCTGCCCGCCCTGGAGACTAGCCAGGTCCTCTCCCACACCTGGTTTCTCCTTCCCTTTGGCATTCCCAGGACACGCCCCAGAGGTGAGGCCAGCAGCAGTGCATCCTGGGAGGAGCCTGAAATGGTATGTTGGAAGCTGTCCGGGGCAGTGAGGCTTACGCCTGTGCAACAGCCCATGATGGAACCATTGCCTGCCGTGCATTCTTTTTTTGGTGGGCCTGCCCTCCCACCCCAAACAGTTTGCAAGGATGTGGGGCAGGGGGGGTGCAGCAGTTGGTCTCTTCTGTCCCTGAGAGAGGGTCAGGCAGGCAAGAAGCGGTGGCGGCAGGCCTGTGCTGTTGGTCCCACCGCAGAGACCTGGCAGCAGGACCCAGGATGGCCTGTGGGTTTACAGTGGTTTTGTTTCCTGTGTCTTAGGCTGCAGCCATAGGGCAGGCCAGCCCCGCAAGCCCGTCTTCCCCCATGGGACGCATCAGCAGCACAGGTGAGACTACGTCAAGTTCCTCCCTGCCCGCCCGGGGGCTTCGCTTCCTGGGGCATCTGACCGCTTTCTCTCTCTCGTTGCTGCAGGTGCCGAAATGTGAAAGACTGCTTCTTCTGGACTGGAAGAGGATCCTCAGGGAATAATGGGGGGGACAGCGGGGCCCGTCACTTCCCAGAGGCTGGGCAGTGGCTGCCTCTCAGGGCAGGGCAGAGAGACCAGGGCCCCACGTCATATTAAGAGTATCTTGTTTGTTGGGAAGGGGGAAGAGACAACAAATAAACTTCTGGTGCACAGATGGCGTGATCTTTTTAGAAGTAGAGATTGGGTTTATACCCTGCCCTTCACAGCTTACCAACCCTTCCCCTCCCCACAACAGACACCCTGTCAGGTGGGTGGGGCTCAGAGAGCTCTGAGAGAACTGTGGCTTGCCCAAGGTCATGCCAGCAGCTGCATGTGGAGGAGTGAAACCTGCAGCGTTCTCCCGGATTAGAGTCCACACACTTGACCACTCCACCAAACTAGCTCTTCAGAGGCAGGGTCTGCAGGTTGAGGTGCTCTATGTGAAAGAATGGCCAGGCCAAGCTCAGAATTACGTGATTTTTATTCTGTTCTCTTTTGCACAGATGTGGCAGCCAAGGGCTTTGAGTCCCCCCCCCCACAGTCACTTGTGCCTAGCTGTTGAGGGAGGGGGCTGGCTGCAGTTGGCACAGGACTCCTCCCTCCCTCCGGGGGCCGAAGGCGTTGGCAGAATCCCAGTGGAAGTGAGACACAGGCAGAGGTTGGGGCCGGGTGCAGCTCCAGGAAACCGTCGGGGGGGGGGGGGGGGAGGCACACAGCAGGGCAGGACGCAGGATAATGCCCAAGAAGGACTCCAGTGCATGGGGGGGGGGAGTGTCCTTAAACATTAAAATCCGTTTGGAAAAACAGCAGCAGGGGAGGGGGGAGAAGCTGAAGCCCCAACTGCCCCCCCCCCATCAAGTCACATTAAAAGTCTCCCCCTCCATACAGCACAAAAGACACGAGGTGGGGGGGAGGGGGAAATGGCTCCTGTCACGGGGGGGGACAAGAAAACATTCACAAGAGGTGGGGCGCCACCCCCCCCCTCCATGGGTCCCAGACAGAGGAAGCCTGTTGTTTCCTAGCAGAAATGGTCATCATCTTCCTTGTCGTCCTTCAGGCCTTTCAAGCGCAGGCGGGCAAAGTCCTCGAAAACAATGTCGTCATCCTGCCCGTAGCTGGGAGGGGGAGAGGCAGCATAAGTGGGCGTTCTTGGGTGGGCCAGGCTGGGCTCCTTTGCCCCCCCCCCTCTTGTGGCCAGGACAGCCCTGTGATTCCACCAGGAGGTGCTTCCAGGGACCAGTCGGGGCGCAGGCCCCATCCTGAGGAAATGCAGGGTGGAGTGGCAAAAGATTGGGGGGGGGGGGGGGGGAGATGCTGCCCCTCCCCATCTAGACCTGCGTTCAGTCATCCCCCCCCCCTCCAGGCAATATCCTTGGGCACAAACCCAGGCTCGTCTTACTTGGTTTCAAACTCTATGAGGTTTGTGTCGATGGGAGCATCTGTTTCCTGGACAGCTGTGGGGGAGAAGCATGAGAGGCAATGAGACACCCCCTCCTCCCCCAGAGAGGTCTCCCCTCCCCCCCTCCCAGCGCTCTGGGTCTGCGGGGGCCTCTGGACACTCACCCGTGGGGGGCTGCAGAGGGGGGGCCTGCTCCGGGGGCTTGGGGTGCATGAGCACGAACGGCAGCTCCACAGACACGTCCCTGTTTGGGCAGGAAGGGGGGGGGGTGATCGAGTGAGGCTCCAGGGTCAGGGAAAGGGAGGGGGACCCAGCACCACCTCCCCCCCAATACGCACCCGCCCCGGGACACCACCAGCTTCACTTTGACTCGGTAGGAAACCCCGAGGACTTCCTTGTTGGCGCCCTCCTTTACGCTGCAAGGCAAGAGAGGTGGGCGTGGGGCTCAGACTGGTGAGGCTCCCAGCCAGGGCCCTCTGCCGCCCGCGTGGCTCCTAACACACACACACACCGGCCTAGATCCGAAAGGGCACGTGGGCAGTCAGTGGCCCAAGTGCAGAGGGAGTGGAAGGATTGGATTTCTACCCCGCCCTCCCCACAACCTGTGAGGTAGGTGGGGCTGAGAGAGCTCATAGGAGGACTGCCCTTGAGAGAACAGCTCTGAGAGAACTTGTGACTGGCCCAAGGTCACCTGGCTGGCTGTACGTGGAGGAGGAGTGGGGAATCAAACCCGGTTACTCAGGTTAGAATCCGCCGCTCTTCACGGCGGCACCAGACTGGTAAGGCCAGCCGGCCGACTCACATGGTGGAGGACGCCAGGTTGGTGTCTTCGTGCTTCAGCTTCCCGTCCAGGGCCAGGCCCCTTTTCTCGCGGTTGTTGCTGAGCAGCGGGGTCAGGGTGTAGACCTTGCAGAAGGTGGAGCTGGCAGCCACCTGGTCACTGCCAGCCGGGGAAGGAAGACCCTGGAGTTAATGCAAGGCCTGGTCTGCCCCCACTGCAGACCCGCACAGAAAAGACAAAGCAGGACTGGGGTGTGTGTGTGTGTGTGCCGGGGGGGGGGGGGCAAACTATGACATTCTAGGTGCAAACCCCAGAACACTGCAGAGATGGAGCTTGCCAATTACAACCCTTCCCAAAACTTGGTCTACAGATTATCTATAAACTGGGACTGTTGGTGCAACTGAGAATCCAAATTAAGACTCCCCTGTGGCTGCACTCGTTCCCCTCTTTGCTCCTCTAGGAGAGAGCAGAGGCCCAGGCGGAGCACAGACACAGTACCCGCACCCCCTCCTTGACAACACTGCGGGGCGGGGGGCTTGGGTTCCGCGGGTGACAGGACGGGCGCAAGACTAGACGGTGGTCGCCTCCCGGGCTGCTCTGGTGCCATCAGGTGGTGGGGGACCCCACCTGGATCGGCTGCAGAACAACCTGGAGGGGTGATCCGTGGGGTGTGTGTACACGGTGTAGAGCGTACTCACTCTAATTCGATTTGGGCCACAGGGCACTTGTACTGGGCTGTGCTGAAGAGGCAGATGTCCGCGTATTGCCGCACTGCAGGGTGAGAGTGGGAAAACAGGCTCAGTTGTGGGCAGTGTTCCCTCTAAGCTGAGTCAGTGTGAGTTAGCTCACAGATTTTTAGCCTCCGGCTCACACATTTTGTCCTAGCTCAGGCAGGATGGCTCCAGAGCAAACTAATTTATGCAGTAGCCAAATCGCTCACTCACAACTTTGAATGCCAGTAGTTCACAAAGTAGAATGTTTGCTCACAAGACTCCACAGCTTAGGGAGCATTGGTTGTGGGAGTATTTCTCCCCACAGAGGCCTGGAAGCAGCCCTTGAATTTTCACCAGGTGAAAGAGCAGGTGTTGCAGGTGGCCTGGGAGCTACTGGCCCTGAGATCTTCCACACACATATGCACATGCCCAGGAAAGACTTTCCCAGCAGCCCTAATTTGCAGCTTTCGCGGGGGGGGGGGGGGGGTAGCTCTAAGGCGGGGCTTGACCCAGTTGCCTGACAAAGAGTGGTCTCGCCTCTCCAGCCCAGCTCCTAAACAGCCCCCCACCCCAACTGAACAGCTCAGAGTGAGCAGGACACCCCCCCTTCCTACCAGACACTTTCACTTTCTTGACACTCTTGCTAGAATTGTTGGTGACGTGAACGTTGACGCTGATGGGCTCGCCGTGGTAGTAAAGCTGCAAGGAACGGCAAACAAAGAGAAGGGTCAAAGTTCAAGGTGCCACTGGACTCAAAATCTGTCCTATTGCTTCGGACCAACACGGCGACCCACCTCAATCTATTTTCAAAGAGAGGGGTCAGAAGTGGAGTCAGGCAAGGACCCCCCCCCCACCCCCCGGAGCCAGCAGCCCTGGGCTTCCCCCCACCCCCCTCAATCTATTTTCAAAGAGAGGGGTCAGAAGTGGAGTCAGGCAAGGCCCCCCCCCCCCAGCCCCCTGAGACATGCAGCCTGTGCCTTCCCTCCACCACAGAAGTTCTTTTTGCTTAATGTCACAGTCACCACCCCCCCCGGTCCCTCTGGAACTGCCCCCCCCCATCCCAAGCATTTCCCCCTCCGCTTGTCCCTGCCCTGTTTCTCCACGGCTCTGGTTGAGAAAGAAGTCCTTCTCTCCCTTTCTCACAAGACAAGAACTCCTTGTGGGCACTCAGTGAAATTGCTGAGCAGTCGGGTTAGAACGGATAACAGGAAGTCCTTCTTCACCCAAAGAGTGATTATAACACATGGACTTCACTGCCACAGAAGGTGGTGGCGGCTACAAGCATGGACAGCTTCAAGGGGGAATTAGATAAGCATATGGAGCAGAAGTCCATCGGTGGCTTTTAGCCACAAGGTATGGATAGGCACGGGGGGGGGGGCAACAGTGGGAGGGCCTCTAGTGGGAGGGCCTCACTGCCGGAAGAAGCTGCTCGGGGAAGATCGGCTCCAGAAAGGGCACCAGGACGTCAGTATCTGAAGCCGCGGAAGGAAGCCGGATGACAACTAGCCCGGGGTGCTGGTAGGCAGTCACCACCCTGTAGACAATGTGGCCCTTGTCAGGTTAATTGGTTGGTTAGAACCACTATGTAAACCGCCCAGAGACCCTTCGGGGTCAGGGCGGTATATAAGCCGAACGTATATATGAATAAATAAATAAATTTAGTGTCCTGGCCCCACTGCTGGACCTCCTGATGGCCCCTGGTGTTTTTGGCCACTGTGTGACCCAGAGTGTCGGACTGGAGGGGCCACTGGCCTGATCCAACATTGGCACTTCTCTCATGTTCTCAGGGTAGAAAGGTTTGAATTTCTCAGACGTCTCGAAATTAAGAAGCGAGGACGTGCCCTCCCCGTTCTGGGTGCTTTTCTCAAATGTACTTTACTGAAAGTTGCACTAAGACAAGAACTCAACCCAGGAATACAAATGGCCCCTGAATGATAACACCACGCAACAAGAACCAACCTATATGTCTGCAGAAACCAACCTGAAAGAAGCTCAGTTCTGGGGGGGGGAAGACTTCTTGGAAGTCATCCAAGTCCTCGCCTCCCTTCAGTTGTTTGATGGGCTTCCACTGTCCCACACAGCCACAGGGGGCCTCCCCCCCCGCCATGTAGTTCGGTATGTGTCCCTCACCTCCTTGTCCAGCGACGCTTCCAGGTGAAGGGACCGATCCGACATGAGGAAGTGACGAGTGGTCTCTGCCATGGGCTGTGGACCAGGCTTCTCTGGGGCATACTGGACTTTGCGGATCACGAGGCGGACGGAATTCCTGCAGGGGGAGGAGCGGTGCTAAGATGAGCCAGCCCCCCCTAGGCCCCCCACCCCCCAGTCAGCATCCACATTCCTCTGGATGGTTCTGGCTTGTTTCTGAGCACCAGGGCCTTTTCTTTTTACTGAAAAAGAGGTGCCAGAACTCTCCAGAGGAAAATGAAGTTTTCAATCTGCATACGGAAAACTCATGAACTTTTAAACATTTAAAACAATAATTTTGCCAAAGAGGTTCCAGAACTCTGTTCCGGGCATCCCCCCCAGAAGAAAAGCCCTGCCGAGCACGATGCAAAGTGCTGGCTACAACCAAGGTGTGGAAGGCGCTGTGCGGCCCCACCTTGAAGGGTGTGGCCAAAGGCCTTTGGGAGCGGGGCCGGCTCTGCAGGGGCCCTCTGCCGGGCACAGGGCACCCCCCCCCCAGAATGGGTTCCGGGCACCTGTCTCCAAAGAGCTCCACGCAGCCAGGCTTTAATTGTACGGCCGACTGGTTTCCTGTCTAAATGCTTTAGATTCATTATCTATTTGGTGGCTGGCTTTAGCGCTGTCATTTCAACTTTGCTATATTACAACGTTCACAATGTTGGCCCAGGGCCTTCCTTGCTGGAGTTCATTTTGACCCAGGGCCATCTGGTGGAAACGAGGGTGCTTCAGGTGTGGTCGGGGCCTGGACTGGGGCCTGCTCCCCTCCCATACAACCTCCTCACCTTTTATGGATCTTCTCATCTACATTTTTGGCACAAAAAGCCCGAATCTCGAAATCGACTCCACAAGCCTGGAGATTAAGTAAAAAAAATAAGAGCCCCCCATTACTCAGACCCTCCTAACTCCGGCCTGACCGCCCTTGCCGATTCTGCCAGTCGCCCCCCCCCCCCCCCCTCATCCCAGGGGACCCTCCAGCCCTTACCTTTCCGGTGTCTTCGGGACCTGGCTGCAGCGTCACCGAACATGGCAGATTCTGTGGGATCTGAGGAGGATACGGGAAACACCCCGTGAGAAAGACAACCTTCTGTTTAACAAGAGGTTTCCCCATCGTATTCTATAGGGGAAGGTGTTTGGGTGGGGAGGGAGGCACCCCCATTGCCAGAGGGCCCAGTGGGGGCTGGCAGCTTTTGGGACAGGCCAGCTGTGGGCGCCAAAGGCCAAGGGAAGGGCCCCCGGAGGGAGGGAGGCAGGGAGGCCAGAAGCCGGCTCACAATGAAGCTGAAGGGGTGGGCGTTGCCCCCCAGTTTCCGCAGCAGCCGCTCCTGCAGGCGGGTGAGAGGTTCGGGGGCCTCCTCAGCCGGTGGGAAGGCCTGCCACGAAGCCAAGAAGAGGTCCTTGCGGAAGGAGAGGCCCAGCACGTCGAGGTCCTCGCGCCCATAGCGGAAGGCACACGTCAGCGTCACAAACACTGCAAGGGGGCAGGTGGGAAAATCAGGGATGTCGCCCCCCACCCCGTGTCAACATCCCGGCACCCCTACTATGATTCCCCCAAGCTGAGTGAAGCTGTCGGAGGAAAAGGAGCTGTCACTGGTGCCTGCAGAACTCTCTGAAGGCCTCTCCCCTCCATTCGAGAACAGACGTTCTGGGGGAAGTTTCAGAGAACACTGGACAGCCCCCTCTAGGTGACAAAAGCTACACGAGGGGGGGGCCCCACAGCCAAGGTCCGGGTCTTACCCGGCGCGGGGGGGGGGCAGGGGGCTCAGCATAGAAATAAAGGGGGGGGGAGCCTCAAAAATGTCTGACGGAGGCAAAAAGGGACCAGTGAACAGAAAGAATCCTGGCGGGGAAGAGTCTTCTTCTTCAGGGAGAGGGGCAGGATTCTCACTTCATTCCCGCCCCTTCCTGTCACCCCTCTGAAGTCCCCCCTCCTGTGCTTTATGGTTGGGGGGGGGACACGGGGGGGGGGGGAGAGAGATCTGTGAAAACGGGCCGTCCACAGCGCCGGACCCCAGGTGGCCTGCAGTCTCGGGGGCCTTTCCCCAACCGCCCGGCCTCGTTCCCACCCAGCTGGGCTGGACGAAATCTGCATCACAACCCCTCCTCTCCCAAGAGCAGGCGACGACCCTTGGTGGGGATTCGAGCTGCCCCGAGGACTCCTGTTGTCCTTCCCTTCCACGGGCTTACTGGCCCTTTAACTGACTGGGAAAGTTGCCAGGAGGCCAGTGCCCAAAAGGGCCACTGGGCCATGGGCGCGAAGGGGTCACTCAGCGGAAGCGGGCATCTTGCCGCCTCCGTCTCCTGGCAGGAGAGAAAGTCCCATGATCCCCGCCCGGGGCAGGCAGATCCCTTCCGGCACGCTCTGCCCTGCCGCTCAGCCGCCGTACTCACCCTTCCGGTCCTTGAGGTACTCGGGGTCAACAAGGACCACCCCATCTAGAACATGGGAAGGGGGAGAGAAACAGAGATAGGCCGGGAGGTCACAGGGACTCCTTGACTGGGGCAGCCCCACAACAGGTTGTTCCCCACTCCTACCAGGCCCAACGGAGACAGCCCCTCCTTCCAGGTTTTGCTTAGCTCAAAATATCACGGGGTGGGGGGGGGCAGGGCCCTGGTGGGGAGGAGAAATGAGCCCCCTCAGGCCAAGTGCTCCATCTCCTTGGCTCTCAAGAGCCCCTGAGCCCACCGGAACAGCCCCCCCCAACTCCGGAAGGGTCCGGCGGAGCCCAGAGGCTTGTCTTCCGAACCTCCACGATGCTTGGGAGGCTAAGAGTGGGGTCCCTGCCCCGGGGAGGGGGGCAGCCCAGAGGACCTCGGGAAGGCAGGTGGGTTGTGAGGGGCCAAAGCCGGAGCCCCATCCCACAGGGTCCTGCCCCCACTCACCAACAGGGTCCACTCTGTCCAGGTGGTCCACAAAGTCCCGCTTCCCCAGGTAGACGGTGAGCTGGAGGGAAGGAACACAGGCAGATGGAGACACCCCCCGGCCACAAAAAGTGTTTGGGGCACCATCCATCCCCCCCCAACCGCTGTGACCCAGAGCCCCCCTCCAGGCTCCCAAGAACACCTTGCTCACCCCCACAGAGCCCCCCGCCTGGCTGCCCAGCTGCTTCTGAAAAACCCGCAGGGCTCCAAGCACTTCGCACCGAATTTGGTCCAGTTCCAAGGGATCCATTCCACACCCCTTTCCCCGGATGTCAGACCACTCCAGCACCACCTGAATTGCCCCTCCCACCCCGCCCCAGTTGCCTGCTCCTGTTCCTCCTGACCCTCCAGGGAGCTTCTTCCAGGCACCCCACCCCCCCAGAGACGGAGGCAGCCAATCCGGCAGACGGGCATCGCCACGGAGACAAGGGGAGTCAACAAAGCATCTCCCTCACCCGCAGAAGGATTAACCCCATCTGGCCCAGGAAGAACTAGGGGCCCCCTGGCCCCCGCCCCTCACTCCCCCAGGAACAGGGCCCACCCAGGGGGTGCGCCCTCACGCCTGGGCCTCCCCTGCTCATCTTGTCCGCATCCTTAACGTACAGAAGCCAGAGGCGGCTGCACAGAGCGAGCCACATCTTGCATTCGCCAGCCCACCAGCCACACAGCCGCACGGCTGCCCACACTCCCACCCCTGCAGCTCCGCAACAGCGAGACCAGCCGCCTTGCATGCACGACCCTGCATGGAGCCTAGCGGTGGAACCCAGCCGCTTTGCACCCTCGTGCATGACAGGATCCTGTGACCGGGGTGGGAATCCTGCCCCTGCCCCCCCCCCCCGTGTCCAACAGGCAAGTTTCGAGGGGAGGGGAGGAGGCGGGAGGCAGCCAGTTCTTGCAAACTGCAAGGCAAGCTGCTCTGGGAGGGAGGAAGGAAATGGGGTGGGGGAGGAACAGTGGCAGGAAACCCACAAGCCCGAGGATGGGGCAGCGGCTGTTGATCTCAGAGAGAGGCCAGAAGGACAAAACGCTTGCTGGTGCAGGGCTGGGAAGGGAGGCGCTTACCTTGCAGTTGGGGCTGGATTTCTTGAAGACCCTGCGGGGGTGGGGGGGGGGAGAACAATCCTGGTCAGAAACAAGCAAACAGGCCCCCTCCTGCCTCCCGGGGCCAAGCACAGGCTGACACTCGCTCCTTGTAAGTTCAGCCCCTCCCCAGTTAATTCAGGCTCCCGGGACAATTTGAGTCCCCCCTCCCTTGCTTGCTGAATAGTGCAAGCAGGGATCAACAGCCTGTGTTGCCGTGGGAACAGCATCAGGACCAGATGCCTGGGCGTCCCTGCAGCAACGGGAGGGAGGACGGGAGCAGCTGCCATGCCTTGCTCCCTGGGCGCCCCTCCTTTCACCCTTTGTTTCCGAGCTGCGTGCTGGGGCCGGGGAGGGGAGACTCAAGACTTGGGGGGGGGGAGGTTGTCACAGAGGGCGAGAACAGTCGCTGGCAAGGAGGAGGAGGCAGGCAGGGTCGATACAGACCCCCCCCCCTGCCGCCATTCCCATCTCACACGGATGCCCCTTGCCCCCCCTGCCCCAGATGGCGCTTCTTTGGGCAGGCCCACCCCAGCAGGCCAGTACTTTGAGCCGGGGGGAAAGAGGCGGATTTGGCAAGAACATGCTGGGGCGGGAGTGCCCAGGGGCTCGAAAGTTGTTGAGGCGCCAGCCCCGCCGCCGCCGCTTCTCATTGGCTACATTAGGGGTGTGTGGCCTAACATGCAAAGGAGTTCCTGCTACAAAAAAGCCCTGGGTTTTGACAACAAACAAGGTAAACAGAATAACAAGCAAAAGGTGGGTGTGGTTGGATAACCACACTTCTGGTAACATGGGGGTGCAGCCTAATGTGCTAATGAGCTGTGCTGTCAGGGGTGTGGCCTAATATGCTAATGAGTTCCAGTTGTTGGGTGTGGCCTATTATGCTAATGAGTTCCTGCTGGGCTTTTTCTACAAAAAGAGCCCTGCTGGAATGTCTGATCGAGCAACTCCATTTCAAATACCAACGGATGAAATAGGAGCACTTCCGGACCGTGCCAAATGGCACATCTGACCACAGCCATATTATCCTACTATGCAGTTTCTGCATTGTTTAATATGCCATGTTAACAGTTATGCTTTTTTCCAGCTTTGGTGCCATATTTTCCCCCTCAGTTTTAATGTCCACAATCCTGACCCCATCACGTTGCTTATTGGATGTCCCTTTCTGCTGACTGCGTTGACCTTCCCTTTGTAGAGAGATCAAGATGGGGAGCCGTGTTACTCTGTCTGCAGAAAAGAGCCAGAGTCCAATAGCACCTTAAAGACTAACACAATTTGTGGCAGGGTGTGACCTTCCGTGAGTCACTGCTCACTTCTTCACTTTGTAATCTACCTTTAGTCTCAGCGAGAAAGGGAGAACATAAACAACACAAGTAAATCAATCAATCAATCAATGTTAAGGCTAGAGACAGGCCTGCTGAGAAGACATTAGCAAGCCAGAGGAATCATGAGCCTGTCCCTGTTTTCCAGCTGTTTTGGGTTTCTCGGGATCAGTTGTCTCTCCAGGCAGCTATCAGGGATAGTGCAGTGAAGAGGCTGCCCACACACCGCGGGAATCCAGCTTCTTCCTGGCTTCCACCCACACAAGGGAGACTGTGGGTATAGGGTACATCTGGTGGTACAGCCTGGACTTGTGTTGCTGCCATCTGGATGGAAGCGAAGTCCCAGTGGCGCTGCTAGAATAATTGTGCCGCAATGTGTTTCCTTGGGATATGGTAATGGGTAAAAAAGGTAAAGGTAAAGATTCCCTTGCTCGAAAGCCAGTTGAATCCGACTCCAGGGTTGCGGTGCTAATCTCCGTTTCAAAGCCGAAGAGCCAGCGCTGTCCGAAGACGTTTCCATGGTCATGTGGCCGGCATGACTAAACACCAAGGCACACGGAACGCTGTTCCCTTCCCACCAGAGTGGTACCTACTTATCTACTTGAATTTCTTGCTTTCGAACTACTAGGTTGGCAGGAGCTGGAACTAGAGACGGCAGCTCACTCCGTCATGCGGCACACCCAGGTCTCGGACTGCTGAACTACTGACCTTCCACAGCCTGCAGTTCAGCGTCTTAACCACTTGAGCCACCGCAGCTCCATGGTAATGGGTAGTGTTCCAATAAAAGCACGTCTGCTGGGGTTCACATTTGCTGCCTTGATTCAGCCCCCCCCCCCCCCCCCACACACACTCCCTCCCCGCCAGCATCGGCAGCCGGTCCCCTCCCAGGGAGCACCCGGCAGCATTGGTGGTGTCTGCCCCCCGCCCACCCCGGCCCTTCCCTTTCCTTGGGGTGGGGACCAGTGTCTCCTCTAAGCTGAGTGAGTGTGAGCTAGCTTACAGTTTATCAGTCTCCGGCTCACGCGTTTTTGTCTTGGCTCAGGAAGGGATGGGGCTCCAGAGCCAACTGATTCATGCAGCAGCCCAATAGCTCTCTCGCCACTTTAATGCCAGGAGCTCACAGAGTAGGATTTTTGCTCACAGGACTCCGCAGCTTAGCGGGGGAGCGTTGGTGGGGGGGACCCCTTCCCAGCCTTGCAGGGTCGGGGGGGGGGGCCTGCCACACCATTCTGCTCACTCTCCTTTTCTGCCCCAAAGTCCCAGGACCCTCCCCCGACGATGGAGCTGGCCGTGCTGGTCCTCCGAGACCTGCTGGAGTATTCCTGCCAGCTCCCAGAACTGGCGCGGGACATTGGCACCAACCACATCCCGGGACTCTTGACCTCCTTGTTGGCCCTCAAGCCAGAGGTGAGAGGGCTGTGGGTGGCCGGGTGAGGAGGCCTTTCCCCCCCCACCCCCCGCCAAAGGGCTCACCCTCTGCCCCTCTCCTCCTCCCCCAGTGCCAGCTCTCTGCCTTGGAAGGAAGCAAGGCCTGCATGATGTTTTACCCTCGCGCGTGTGGCTCCTTGCGAGTAAGTGTGGAACATTGTCAGTGGTGGGGGGGGGGAAAGAGCCGTTGACGCTGGGCAGGGGGAGCCGCTGACCCGTCTCTTTCCTTTGCCCCACCAGGGCAAGCTGGCAACCTTTTTCCTGGCCCGCGTGGATGCAGAAATGCCTCACCTGCAGCAGGTAAGCGCCTAGCACAGGGGGAAAGTCCTGGTGCATTTGGTGGGTGGGTGCGTCAGGTGTCAGGGCAGGTCCCCCTCCCTGTGCTTTTCACGCGCGAGAGAGCCCAGCAAGCACGGGGAGGCCGTTCTGGTACTGGGGTCGGGTGCCCAGTCCCTTGGAGGAGGAGGGGGCACCCGGAGATTCAGGGCCAGTGGGTGGCTGGGCTGAGGAGGGGTGTCCTCACCGTGCCTTCCTGCTCTCCCCAGCTGGCCTGTGATTGCTACGCGCTCCTGCCCTCCCTGGGGGCCGGCTTTGCCCAGGGACTCAAGTACACGGAGTGCTGGCACCAGCAGGCCCACTGCCTTTTGGCCACGCTGCACAGCCTGCTGGGAACACTCTACGAGGGCGCCGAGACAGGTGCGTGCCGCCTGGGAGGAAGTCACGCGGGTGCCAGGCTGTGCCTCGGCCTCTCTGCCCGGCCTGGTTGGCCGTGGCGTGAGAAGACAGAGAGGCTGGCTTGGCCTGGCTAGTGGGGAGGAGGACAGGCGGAAGGCCCACCTGAGAGCCAAGCGGGGGTGGCATTCTGCAGTGGGTCTTGGCACCCACTGGGCCGTTTCTCATTTTGCCCCTGGAAGGGGATGGATCGGAGCCCTTGGAGTGGCGGGAGAGGGGACGGGTGGGGCTGTGTGCTCGTGGCGTTTGGCTGATGACCTGAGCATCCCCTTCAAGTGCTGGTTGCTCTCTCGGCCCCACCACCTGGCTGCCTCGGACCAAGTCCCCCTCTTTCAGAGCCGCAGAGGGGAAAGAGGGGGGGGGGGGGGGGGGGGGCGGTCTGGCAGTGGTCTCCTCTCTGCTTGTTCCAGAGCCTCTGAATTACGAGGGGCCGGGGGAGGAGATTTCTCTGCCAGCGCCGGAGGAGGGACAGACCAGCAGCTTCCTCCTCCTCCTGAAGCTCCGCTTTGCAGGCCTGGCCCGGTGCCTTTGCAAGATGCTGAGGTAGGTAGAGAGAGAGAGAGACCCCCACCTCCGCCCCGCCTCCTTGGCAGCGGATGGCTTGTGCCCCTCCTACAAACGCTTTCGCCTCTCGTTTTAGGAACGAGTTTCCGGCCCCTGTGACGGTTCCTGTGCAGGACATTCTGGATCTCATTTGTCGCGCCCTCAATATCTCCACCAAAAACATTGTGAGTAGCAAGCCCCGCCCCCCCACACACACACGAGGGCGGTTTGCACCCCCGCTTGGGCCAAGCGATCGGCCCTGCGTGCGAGGGGAGGGGGTCCCTCGCTCGGCCCCCCTTTTTGGACTGTGGGGCATCTCTCCCGGGCCACCGGTCTCGGTTGCGCCCTGCTTCTCGGGCACTGGAGCCTCACTGTCCATCGGGGGGGGGGGGCGTTCTTAGGATGTCAGGGGTCTTCCTTGGGAAATCCTGCCTTGTCCTGCTCTCTCCCTCAAGGAGGCCGGGGACAGGAGCCCTGCAGGGAACGGACTCCGGGGAGCTCGCGCTCCGTGAGGTGGCTGCTGTGGGAGCCCCAGCAAGACAGCATCCTCTGACTCCCTCAGCCAAAGCCCCCCTTCCTCCCAAACGATGTGGGGGGGTGTGTGTGTGTGCCCCGAGGCCAGGCTAGAACCCCCTCCTCTCCGGGGAGCAGTTCTGCAAGGAGACGCCGTCGGAGGAGGAGGGGGCCTCTGGCACCCCAGCCGTGCAGAGCCGGGTCAGGAGGGCTGCAGGGGCAGGCCTGGCGGAGGGGAAAGGCATGAGGAGGGCCCACCCGAGCCCCTGGGTGGAGTCCCACAGGGGGAGGGGCTGGAGGTGCCCGAGCTCTGCCCTGCTCCCATGGGTTGGGTGCCCCTCCCTGCCTTTCATTTTGGTTATGGCCGGGGGTGGGGGCGGTCTGGCAGTGGTGCCCCCCCAGCCTTGCCCCCTCAGACCCCCCCCCCGAGCTGACAAGACTGGTGAAGAAGAGGAGATTGGATTTAGATGCCCCGCCCTTCATTCGGCATCTCAGAGCAGCTGACAAACTCCTTTCCCTTCCCTTCCCCACAACAGGCACCCTGGGTGAGGGAGGTGGGGCTGAGAGAGCTCTGAGAGAAACTGCTCTTTTTCAAGGACCGCTCTGAGAGAACTTGTGACTGACCCAAGGTCACACTAGCAGCTGTAGGTGGAGGAGTGGGGAATCAAACCCGGTTCTCCCAGATTACAACCCGCGCACTTAACCACGGCACCAAACCGGGTGTGTGTGTGGGGGGGGGGGGATGGATCCACATCAGGGGGGCCAGGTGCCAAGTCAGATGTGGGGGGGGGGCCCTTAATTTTCCCCATTGCATAATCCCCTACGGGAACTGACCTGAGCCCCACCAGCACTGGGGGGGGGGGTTGAAGGGGGCAGGAGAACAGGGGCCTGCTTGGCCCATCACCAGATGTCCCCCTGCGCCATCGGCACGGCAAGGTTGTGGGACACGTCGGTGCAGGGCCCGTGCAGAGCCTTTCCCAGTGGTGTGTGTGTGTGTGTGTGGGGTGTCTCGCCAGGACGCAGTTCCCGTAGCTCAAAAGGCTGCTGGGGGGAGGGGGGGAGTCACCGTCCAAAAGCCACCCCCGCTGTGTTTTTCAGGGTTGGTTTGGTGACGGTCCGTTACGGATGCTGTTTCTGCCTTCGATCCACCTGGAGATCTTGGACTTGCTCTCTGCTCTCATCTTGGCGTGAGTTTGGGGGAGCGTGGGTGGAGCGGGTCTCCCCCCCCCCCACACACCTGGATGCTTGCCTCCTCCTGACTCCGGCCCCTCCCTCCCTCCCTCTCTCCCCCCTCGCAGGTGTGGTCCTCGGCTGGTGCGGTTTGGGGGCCTTCTCTCCCGCCTGTTCCCACAGGTGCTCACCACCTGGAGTGCCGGGCGGGACCTGCCCCTCCCCGGGCAGGAGCGCCCCTACAGGTCTGTGTGGGGAGGGGGGGGCGCAGGGGCGCTGGGCTGGCGGTGGAGAAAAGCAGCCGGGGAAGAGGAATCAGACTCGCTTTGGTGCTGGGGGGGGGTGGGGAGGGGGGATGGAGTGGGGTCTCCTCCGGCACTTGTGGGTGGGAAGTAAGCCTTCCTTCTTGTCTCCTCGGCCCTCAGCGCGGTGCGGACTCGCCTGTACCAGGTCCTGGATCTCTGGGTGCAGGTGGCCGGAGCAGCGTCCGGCGTCCTGCAGGGGCACCGACCGCACAGCGAGGCCCTCCTGGGTCACTTCATCGCTGACATCAGCCCCCCGACTGAGTCGCTCAAGGTGAGCCCCCCCACCCCACCCCTTCCCCACTGGCCGCGGGGGCTCCCTCCACCCAAGTGCAGCCCGTGATGATTTGGTCTCTTCTCCTCCTCCCTGGAGCTGCGGTGGCTCAAGTGGTTAAGATGCTGAACTGCAGGCTGGAAGGTCGGTAGTTCAGCAGTTCGAGACCCGAGTGTGCCGCATGGTGGAGTGAGCTCCTGTCTCTAGTTCTAGCTCCGGCCAACCTAGCAGTTCGAAAGCAAGACATTGCAAGTAGGTAAATAGGGACCACTTCGGTGGGAAGGTAACAGCGTTCCGTGCGCCTCGGTGTTTAGTCCTGCCAGCCACATGACCACGGAAATGGCTTTGAAATGGAGATGAGCACCGCAACCCTAGAGTCTGACTCAACTGGCTTTCCAGCAAGGGAACCTTTACCTTTCTTCTTCTCCGCAGCTGCGAGAGGGCGGCCCTGCCTCGGACGGGAAGCCCAGTGCCCCAAAGAGGCCCCGGCTGTCGGACCTGGGGAGCTCGGGGCCCTCCGCGCACCGCAAGCACGACCCCTGGGCAAACAGCGACGTCTGCCTGGCTGCCCTGCAAGGTAGAGCCCCCGGGACCCAAGGGTGGAGGCGTCCACGAGCGGCGGCTTTTCACGCTCCCCCAGAAATGGGCCGTGGTGGCAAATGCCGCTGCCCTCCTTGAGGAGGGTTTTCTGACGGATGGACCCCCGTCTCCTTCTGCCTCGGGCTCCTGCAAAGCCTCGGGGCTTGCCTGTTGGCGTCCCGTGGTTGTCCTGGGAAGTCTTCTGTGGGGGCCTCCCCCCCCCCCCACCACCAAGGCTCCCTCTGAGAGCCTGAGTCTTGTGAGCAACAATTCTACTTTTTGAGCTCCTGGCATTAAAGTTGTGAGCAAGCGACTTGGCTCCTGTGTAAATGAGTTTGCTCCTCTGGAGCCATCCTTCCTGAGCTGAGACAGAAATGTGTGAGCCGGAGGCTAAAAAACTGAGCTGGCTCACACCTACTCAGCATAGAGGGAACACTGGCCCCCACCCACCAGAGAACGGGCTGTCTGAGGAGGGAATGCACCCCCCCCCAGTGAAGACTCGTCCTCCGGCCAAATGGGGGCTGATGAAGAGGGCCTCTCCGGTGCCCCCTGCAGCCCCAGTTCCAGGAAAGGTTTTCCCCAAGCCCCGCCCTCGGACCTTTCTGCCTGCCCACCCCCCAAAGAGTCTTAGAGGGGGTCCTACACAGAGATGCGGGGAGATG